GTTTGCTCTCATGCGATTCCATAAAGGGTCAACCCACCGAAACGGGCCCCCGGGCCCCCACGTCATAGGCAACCTTCGGTTCTGTAACTCAACCCTCTCACTGTTCATTGAGGTGGCTCAGGGGTTCTCGCAGGAGCTTCCAGACAACCAGCCCTTCCATCCTGGGGGATCCGTTCCAAGCTGTGCTAGACCATCACATGACCTCCCGCAAAGCCAGGCGTGTTTTCTGCCGGACGACCAAGCAGTACCACAGCCGACGGCGGTCCCTTCTTAGGCCCAGGAGGTTCTTCCCAATGGAGGAGCCCACTGAAACCGCCAGCCAGTGGTCCTGGCTCCTGGACTGGCATGCGTCTCGGAATCGGTAGACTTAGACCGTGCAAGCTGTCCCCATAAGTGCTATGGAGGTATAGGAGCAGAATACACAAAGAAAGACGTAGCTTTGACGGTCGATACGGTGACGGCAGTGATGCCTTTGGTTCCCGTTGGTGACAAAGACCCTGCGCTTTCTCCCGATGGCCCCTCAAAATCGTCCCGAGCACAGGGCTGCCTCTGAGCCTGCCCCAGGCCAGCAGACTCACGCAGGGATGCTCCGGGCCGGGAAGAAATGGCCTGCGGGGTGGGGGTGGGGGGACCTGCTCGGACCATGTAGCACGCGGCCAGCCTGAAGACAGGCCCGTCGGCGGTCCTTGCGTGAGTCGAGGCTGGCCGGCCTCGGCTACATCTCATTTCTCGCAAACCTCCAAGGGTCTCTGCCCATCCTAGGGACCCACGCGATGGATCCCCATTGAAGAAACATTTCTTTTTTCCTTTGGTGGCTCTGCATGATGTTGTGATATTGAGTTGGGCATTCCGTTAGAGTAGATCCTGCCACGTTGACGAAAGACACAATTATTTATTCTATTAGCAGGCGCCACCTGCAGAGGACGGCTCAGCAGCCCCGCGCTGCCAGTCAGGAACTGCTTCCAGCACGACACCTGCTAAACGCAGTTACACGGCAATACGCGTTTCAGTGTTACATTAGAACGTGCGACGGACGGCGTGGTAGCCTATTGCAAAGTTGTAGAGACGTTAGAACTAAGTAATCCCTCGCTAGGTGGACTAGAGCTTTGCCCTAACCAGCCCCGACCTCGGGTACTTGAGCGAATTCCCACGTTGCTCTGGCCTCCTTCCTTCATCGTGGACGCCCGTCACGTGTCGCTCCTATCCTGAAACGTGGGGGGCGGCAGCCACTGTGCCCCGTCCCCCCACCCCCACCCCATCTCTCCCACCCCGTTAGGACTTGGACCTCTGACATGGAAGTCCCCCTGGCGCCCCCTCCCAGGCTGGAATGGTTTCCACATACGGATGCTGCAGCCTTCCCCGCCTGCCTCATACCCACCGAACCTCACCAGCCTCTTCCCGGTGTTCGGGAGACATGTCCGTGCCCTTGCACCCACCCCCGCCCACCACAAGTGGGATGAGGTTCTGGGGGGGGGGGTGCGGTGTCAGGGGAGGGGAGGGGGCTGACGGGCTGGCACACTTGCTGAGTATTTGATGGGGCCACACGCTATTTATCTGGCCCCTCCAGTTTCTGTGTTGCATATTTGTGTTTGAAGCATATTAAAATTAACTTGAGGGACCTTCTGTGACATGCACTTGATGTAACCGTTAGCCCTCTCAGGCTTCAGGAAATTCAGGTTGGGGATCCAAGGCAGCGAGGCAGGGAGGTGTTTCGCAGGCTGGGTTCCTTTTCGGCGTGTGCCAGGGTCAGCGGACCGTCACCGAGAGCCCCTCTCCCCGGACGCAGCAGGTGCAGGGTGCCCACAGCTGTCTCCCAGCCCCGATCTCCAGCAGCCCTGCCCTGGACTTGAGAGAGCTCAGAGGCTCTGCTCTGCAAGGCCATCTTCGGTGGGCTGGGGGGGGGGGGGGGGGGATGGGGTTGGAAAGGACACAAAAAATTGAGTATATAGTCCCCCTCAGCATTGATTTCAAATTCAGACCTAGACAGGGTTATGTTTCCACCCCACAGACGGTTTGATGTGTCCCGTCCAGTTTTATCTGGATCATCACTGACCTTTCCCTTGAGTGGCAATGTCCACAGCTACAGCAATTCCCTATCCTGGGCTTTCTTCCCCCAGGGGGGTGGGGGCGGGACACAGGACCCTGGAAAGTTCTGCAGCTCTCCCTGCAACATCCCGAGGGCAGCCAGGACACTCTCATTTCAACCTGAAAGCGCTTGCCCCCACCATCCCCCGGCCTCAGGCTGGCCAGCCGGACCCCGGAGTGTCCACAGGGGCCTCCCCCTTCTTGGGGTTACAAGGGAGCCCCCGGGGTAGGCCAGCTCCCCGTGGAGGTTTTGCAGGGCCTGTGGCAGGGACAGCTATTTAGAGAGACTTCGAGTCTGCTCTCCCGAACGGTTGCTGAACCAGAGGCTTTTCGCAGGTGACCCATCCCGAGTCACTCGGAGACCTGAGAGGGACACCACGGGTCCCCTCAGGGTCACCCGTGCTTCCAGATTGTTGAGGACAACTGCCTACTTATTAGTGATGGACTTGTCAACCGGTCCTAACCTGTTAGTTTCCTCCGGGGTGTCTTGGGTCTTCTCCTTTCAGAATAACCACGTCCCCGGTGTCCTTGCCCCTACACATGAGGTAAGCAAAGGAAAAATGGATCATCTCAGAGAAGGGAGGGATGGAAGAGCTCACGGCGGGTAGAAACCTCAGAGCTGGATACTTCGCACCTGCCGGTGGGAGCTGCACGCTGTTCCCGCGCCCGGTGCCGCATCGTGCAGCATCAGCGGCCGGCCACCAAGCGATGACTCGAGGACCACACCCTGTCAATACCTCTGGGACCATCGAGAGTCAGAGTCCCAGAGACTTTGGGTCCAATACTTAAAAAAAAAAAAAAAAAAAAAAAAAAAAAAAAAAATCATGAAAGGCTGGTAAGCTGTCCCCGTTGTGAAGACGAAGTTAATTCACTGAGGTTTGCTGAGTCACTTATTTAAAAGCCAGGTGGCTTCTCTTAAACTCCTGGAGGCAACGGCAGGACAGCCGGGGCCCATTCTTCCCGCTCAGCCTGGAGGTTAGACGTGCTCGGGAAGGGCAGGTGCATTTGGCCTCCCTCACCACCTCCCTCTGCAAGTTTTGCCAGTGCGGGCACCACGGGGTGGGGGGTCGGGTGGTGTGCGGCTCTCAGCGGGGACCACCGGGCTGCACGTGACCGAGGGCCCCCTCCCGGCGTCCTGCCCCCGCCCCCGGCCGCCTGCCAGGAGTACCCACACTCCCAGATCCCCGAGCAGAGCACGCTGCCCCTGCACGCCCCCCCCCCACGCTGTGCGCACAGTGGTCTCTTGGGTTAACTGCACCCACACTAATGTGGCAGGGTCGTGTCCCGGTCCCCCCTCTCCCGCCACCCTGCAGGGGGCTGCCATCTAAGCAGGCGCTCGGGAACGTCATCGTTCCAAGGAGTAGAATCTGAAACCTCCACGGGAAAGTCCAAGCTTCACAACTTCTCTCGGCCCCCACTCCGTCCTGGAGCCACCGCGGTTTAGGTGCCGGACGCAGCGACACTTCCGCCTCCGTCCCCCGCCCCGCCACGTGGCACTGTCGTCAACAGCGGCGTCTCCGGCTCGCGGGGCAGCCGCACTTTGTAAGACTAAACTATTCCCTTCGGAAGAGGGGCGGACAGGGCGGCCCACGGTTGGTGGCGCAGCCGTCGCCGGCTCTGTTCGGTGGCCGAGCAGGGCCGCGCTGGAATAGGCGTCCGCCGCCCCCCCCCGCGCAGGCTGGAGGCCGGCGGGGAGTTCGGGAGGCTTCCTCGTGGCTGCCGGTGCCCAGCTGTTCGGAGGCGGCTTTTGATTCGCCGGAAGCGTCTCGTAACCAAACCGTGAGAGGCACGGATTGCTCCAGGGGGCCCCCCTCAGGCGTCCCGAGTTGGAATCCCCTGTGGGCTCAGGCTTTCCTGCGAAACGACTGACGCCCGGCTGGGGACTCCTCGGGCCGCTCGCCCCGCGCCGTGCCGGCCGCTAGGTGGCGCTGCGGCGCCGCGGGAACGGGGCTCCGCCTGGCGCTCCCAGGGGCGGCCTCTCGGCGGCGGCGGCGTAAAGGAGCCGGAAGGGACCGGCCCACGTGGCCTTCGCCGGATGCGGGACCGCGGGGCGCTCCCCGGCGTCCGCAAGCTGTGAGCAGAGCCTTTGACGGAGAGATCGCTCGCCGGGAGTCGCCCGGGGGACGACCAAGGGGACTCCCGCCTGCCCGCGGCCGGGCCACACTGCACACCCCCGGGTGCGGAGCGGGGATGCCGCGCAAGGTCCAAGCTCCGTGGCCTGGTGCGCCGTGTGGCGGATGGGCCCGAGATGGTCCGGGGGTCTTGCGGCCAGATACTAATGTGAAACCAGCAGCGGCCCCCTGGCCCTTCCTCTCCTAGGGTGCAGGGTGTCCGCCCAGAAGATGCCAAGGTCGGGCCTTGTCTTCCCCGGGCAACACACCTCCCAGCGTGATCACCAAATCATTGCATCGTAGTGTCTGAGAGTTAAGGCCAGTGGACCGAATGTCTCCTGTGCAAGCAAATGCTTCCTTCCTCAGAGGGGGAACGGGGCGGGGGAGGGGCAGTTCCTGGGAAGTGCCGGGCTAAGGTGCGCGGTGCAAGGCGGTTGGGCCACATTGGCGCCAAGGGCTTTGGCTGATGAGCGGCTTTACGCCCTGGCTGGCGGAAACCTTGGTGGGAAGCCTTCCACGCCCAAACGCAAGCCAAGTCTGGAAAGAGTGGGAGGTAGGGAGATAGTGCAGGGGATCCTAAATGAGTGCTGGGGGTGGGGGTGGGGGGATTCCCTGGTTGAGGTGCTATTTCATGGAATGAGGCTTTCCACCAAATGGCCGAAGGAAAACGGGGCATTACAACATCCGGCTGTAGGGAAACGGGAAAATACTCAAGAAGCAAAGGGCGAGATCTGGAACTCTCTATGGGGCACTGCCAGGCTTGGGGACCCAGCCAGGCGCAGCCACAATGCTTGAGAACACGCCGTAGCCGTAGACAGAATTTATTAGAGTTTGCAGAAGCATGAGATAATGTACCACAAAATAGTTCGATTTTACAACATATAGTAGTAGGAGGTTGTCAACATACAGTGTTGTCAGCAAAAATGGGATACAGAGCAGTTTCACATTTTTTTAAAGGTGATGGGTGACCTATACGCTTGTCCTTAAAATAAAACCAGGAGGGGCCAGCAGAGACAGGCTGCTTTGCAGTTGGGTGTCAGAATCTTAATCTAGTATCAACAATTGTAAGAAACTATAAGAAAACTATTAGAAAAATAGAACATCAAACAAGCAAAAAACATTATACAATTTACAGAATAAGAAACACAATTCTTTTAACAATGGCTGCACGTTCAGGAGAAGAAAAAGTTTACTGGAGAAACCACAGCTCTTCAGGTTTGAAAATAAACCAGCCCTCACCAGGATCATCAACCCTCTGTGCTTCTTAGATCCATCGACACTGAAAGGCACAACTTAGGCGGGAAACTTATTTTAAATACATATATTACAACTTCTCAAATGGGAAAATAAATCCCAAACTTTAAAAAAGAAAAAAGTCTGTCATCAAGAAACACAAAGTCATATACCTTGTTAATAATTTAACAAAGTCTTAGCGCGTCTTCCTGACCCTGTGGGACATGCTCATACCCTGAGAAATTCAATCTGGACTTCACAGCCAAGGTCTTTATTTCATGTGGGTTTTTCAGCCGGCAGTTCAACACACTTACAGGGTGATCCAGGAGGGGTCCTTGATATCTGTGCCCGGAGACCCTTGGCTGGTCCCCGTCCCTCTTGAAAGAGAGCACTGCCGCTCAATGAAGCGACGGGCACATAAACACTCTGGATTCTAGTGATGAATATAGTATCAAAGTCAGTTGACTTTTTTTTTTTTTTTTGCCTCACAAACCCATTAGGCATCATAACTCTGATGATGAAATACGGAGTGTAGCCTCTTGCACCACTGGATAAAGCACTTCATTACCCAAAAAAAAAAAAAGTCCACAAGAGTCCAACACAAGGTCTCTCACTCTCCCTAAGGAGCCTTACTTGCAATACTCTTGTGATGATGGCAAACACCCATCTTAAATTATACGCGACAAATATACGTGACACATATTCAGTTCCATCTGCTGGTAACTCTGTAACAGTTCCGCACACAGGCGTCGCACACCTGTGCCCGGCAGAGTGCCGACGTGCCTGGAAACACTTCTCCGTCCGTGCCAGAACTCTGGCACGGGGATGGGGCCTGGCACGGGGATGGGGCCTGGCACGGGGATGGCCCTAGGGAGCCGACAGAGCAATCGGCTCGTACTAGATGTGTGCAAGCAGGACACGCGAATCCGGAAGATGGGTCCTGGCGCAGAGCCAGCAGGTTGGTGAGGCCCCTGAAATGCCCACGAGCCCACCTAGTCGGGTGGGGCCTTTACGAGGCACGCCCACACGCCCCCAAGGAGCCCGGATTCTGCCCCTGTGCTGTACCGGTGTTAGACTCGGGGCCATCCTGGGCAGACTGCAAACCTCAGTCAATTCAGAACGCCCGCTCAGTGGTGGGGATGGCGGGGACGGAGGGGCGGGGAGAGAGCAGAGCCCAGGTCACGGCCACGGCCACGGCCACGCAGGAAGCCCCACGAACGACCGCCGGGTGCCTTGTCTGGGTGTGCACACGGGAGCGGGCCGGGGCCTGAGGAGCTCGGGGTGGGTGAAGCCCCCACCACGGTGCGGTCACCTGTGGACACGTGGCAGGCAGGGGGGGCTGTGATACCCGAACCACAGCACCAGCACCTGGGACCATGTCCCGACAGAGGTGACTCAGTGGAGCAAAACCACGAGTCAGGGGGCCGAGGGGCTCTGGCAACAGTATCAGTTCAGCAGTCCTTCCGAAACAGCCTGGGAAAGATGGCCCTAGCGCTCCCCGCTATTGGCTTAGAAAAACAAACGGGGCCCAGAGTTGGGCTGAGGGGTGTGAGCCGGTGGGGCAGGCTGAGGCATGTGCAGAGGCCCAATCTCCTGCTGACGGTCCTCCTCCTGGAAGCAGGCTCGGCCTCCCCCACCCACGGAGCCCGACTGCGTCCCCGGCGACCCCTCGCACCCCTCGCTCTTCAGCAGAGGTCCTGGGGCTCCACGGCTCGCTTCTTTGTGAGTCTTCACGGGGTCGTGAGAACACGTAGGGTGGGGGGACCACGGGAGGCAGGAAGGGCTGCTTACTCAACACAAAAGGGTCTTCCCAACGTGGGTTGTTTGGGGCTGGGCCACAGATAAAAGCAGACACAACGTCCCCGAAGGGCATCTCTACAAGTGTGGAATTTCTGATGATGTAGGAAAATAGTGGCCAAGCCATGACACGGAGAAATCAGTCTTGCTTGGACTGGGGAGGTGGGGGTGGGGGTGGGGGGGGAAGGCCAACTGTCGGGCACTTCTGGTGGTTATTTCTTGCCTGTGTGTGTATGTGTGTGTGTGTGTGTGTGTGTGTGTTTGCGGGGAAGGCATGAAGGCTGGGGTAAGAAAAAGCCTGTCCACACGGGGGAGGCTTACCCCGAACGGCGCTCGCGACATCACCGTCCTCGTGTACAGGAGAGGAAAGCTCTGGCAACCGCACAGAAGCTACTCTCAACAGAAGCGCGGTGACCTCGCCAACTATTTATCTATGCCCCCTCAGGTGTCCTGTCCTAAACGGGAGGCTCCTGGCCCTGACGGGGGAGGCAGCGGGGGCTTTGCACCACCGCGCGGGTGAGCCTTGCTGAGGCACTTGCCGGCTTTGGGGTGAGGAAGGGGGAGACTCATGCGCCAGGAGGCCTTCACCCCGCGGCATGTTGTCTGTTATCAGGCAAACACACCTTGTCGGTTGCTAGAACGATCCACGATGCCAGCTGAAACGTCAACTGTATACACAGTCTGCTGTGTGCTCTCTTGCACAGACATTTCAGAAAGAGAAATTAAAGTTAAAAAAAAAAATTTTTTTTTTTCTCTTCCCTCCGCCTTCCGTCTTGGGCACTCTCTTTCCCTCAAGTTCTCTTTGCCTATGTGGAAAAACAACAGACAAATCAAGCAAACAAACAGCTAACAAACCCTACAAGACAGCAGACAAGAAGAACCCCAACAAAATAAGTTAATATTTATCAAAATATTGTACAGCACCAATCTACATAAATTTAAATATCTTTCTTTGGAAACCCACGCTTTGGGCTCTTAGGCCCCTCCCTCTGTAACATTCACAAATGATAATTTAGAATAAAGCTCCCGGCAAGGCGACCAGGGCCTAGAGCAGAGGCGGGCCGCCACCCCCCACCGACTGACCCTGCCATCTGGCCACTTCATGAATTCCCGTAATTCTCTCCAAGGAGCTACCGAGGGAGAGGAGACAAGTGCCGCCGATTTATCAGGCTTCGTTCCACCATATTTGTGTCAAAGGCCAGAAGGGGGAGAAACGGGAGTCTGGGCTTCAAAAGCAGCATTTGCATTTTCCGGGGGATCCACACGGCCGTGTCCCTCACCTGCCATCAACAGGGGGCCCTTCTGGCTCCTGAGCCACACTCGAATGGGGAGACGGAATCAGTGCTCGTGTTTCCTCGGGCTCCCATCCGCAAGAAGTGTGTGAGCCGTGGAGCGCTCCAGTGCGTGGGAGGGGGCACGCTGTGTACAGGGAACCCGGCTGGCTCTCCGGCTTAAAACTTATGGAGACAGGAGGTCCGCGCCCGGGCTACAAACCCATCTACAAACCTGCAGCATGTGGACAACAGGTACGCGACAGGGACAGCAACAGGACCCCAAATTCTCACGCGCGGACCCCACACCGAGTAAATATTTGGCCGTTTTCCAAGTTAATACTGAGCGCCAACTTCATTTGGAGCGATTCACAGATGCTAACGGGACTCAGCTCGATTACATAGAAGACAAGGGCCAAAGAGATCACCTCGGGGCCAGGAGCAGCTGGGAGGACCGGCCACCGTCGCGTCGGGAGGAGCAGAGCCTGCCTTGGGAGCCCGGCAACACTCGAGAAACGGGCCCGCACGCGCCAGAGGGAGGGAGTCCGCCTTGGCGGAGGCCCACAGAGAACAGCGATCTAAGCTCTGCCGATCTCAGGCCAGGCCTACGTAAACGCAGCGTCACGTTCCGGTTGCTCGGGACACGCCGCCTTCGTGCAAGACGCCGGAAGCAGCAAGAACTGGCCTGGGCCCGGAGGGAGTACAGCTGGCGGGCGGGGGTGGGGGGGCCCGGTGCTCAGGCGTGAGGAGCGGAGCCGGCCAGCCCTCGGTCCTTCCGCCCGGTTCCCGCGGGGGCCTCGGTGCCACCGCGGAGCGGGCCAGGTTCCGTCAGCTGTCGGGGCGGAGCCGCTGCCAGGAAGAGGAAGTGAGGGAGGGCTCCCGTTCCTCACGACCCTTTCTGGCAGCGCAGAGGACAGGAGTGGGAGAAGGAAACCAGTCCCGCTTCTCCCCTCTGAGCTGTCCTCTGGCTCGGGGGGTAGCACTACTGGGGACGTGTCTGGGTGACTCATGCTGCGTGCACGGTCGGCCTTCAGGGTTGAGCAGGGAGGTGGCTGCGGAAAGTGTGCAGTACGCACGTGTTCAGTGCCAGAGCGGTCCTGGCGGGGGGAGGGGGGGGGCCGGGACTCCCAAGGTGACGAGAAAAGGTGGCCGCCATTCTGCGGCCGCAGCGGCACGGACACAGAGCCGGCGAGGACGGGAGCTGTTCTCTTTGTTCAGAGGGATGTAGGGAGACACAGTGGAAACCGCGGCCAAATGGCCCCAGCCGGGGAGCTGAGAGAGGTGACCGGGACCTGGTGCCACCTGCCACGGGGCAAGTCTGTGCAAGACACACGGGCTGTGGGCCGAGGCTGCGTTTCAAGTAGCTGCACCTTCTGCTGCGGTGGGGCTTGGATGTGGGGGGGGGGGTCCTGACGCACTGGTGGAGAGAGCGAGGTGCTCCCGGGACCTCTGCGGGCATCCCTCGGGGCTGCTGCCACCTCTGGGGGCGGGGCTGTGTGTCACTTGCAATGGTCCAGATTGCCGTCAGGAGTCCTTGCTTGCTCGGCGGCCAGGGACGCCTCCTCGCTGTGCCACAGACCGTAGCCAAAGTAGATGATGAAGCCTGCGGGCCGAGAGCAGAGACCGGGAGTGAACAGGGCAGGCAGGGCTCAAGGGCAGAGGGCAGAGCAGCTCTGGGGGAGTGACGTGGCCCCGCGGGGAAGTCTCTCCGTGCTGCCGGACCCAGGCCTGCGCCCACAGCAAGCAGCCCTCGTGGGCTCACTTTCTGTATCTGGAGACACACGGGACTCCTCCGCTCCAGCCTGCAAAGGTTTTGGTCTCGCCCCTCCAGGCAGCGAAGGCACGCTCCAGGGGCAGCCTCACACTGGAGCAGTTCCTGAGCAGGGGGAGCAGCCAGGGGGTCCCCGGAGGGGTGCTGGTCCCTCAGCTTCATCCACTGACCACCTAGTTGGTGCCCCGCGGCCACTGGAGGGGACAGGACGGACGCTCCAGCAGTCATACTGTTTCCCGCGAGGGTGGGATTTCCAACAGGGGTGGGACTGTTCCAACCAGGGCTCCCTAGAATATTCGTGTGGCCTCCACGGCCCTGACTGCCTCTGTTTCTCAGTCCATTCCAGGGTCGGGGGCTCCAAAGGTCTGTGGTGGGGCCCAGAGATCTGAGCTTCTAACTGGCCACCTAAGGACTGGGGCCCATGTCAGGGACGCAAGGAGAGCGGGCCTTAAAGGAAGGGCTCGGCCACCAAAAGCCCTGGCAAGAAGCCAACGGCTTGGAGCACATCCCGGGAGCTCACGTCTGGGACGCGGGAATGAGCGGCTCCCCCCGAGCCGGCTCTCTCCCAGGAAGGCTCTGCGGGGGCATCTGTGGAACCAGCTCAGGCTACACCGTGCAGACAACGTGGGGCCTGCAGAGCACGACCGAGAGGCGGCAGCTATCTGCCCCTAAGTGTGGTGACGCAGGGCCGAGGGCTTTGGTAGAAAACACAGGCCTGGAGTCCCTGCTCTTGCCGGGGACGCCGAGGGGCGAGAGACAAGGCCCGCTCCCCAGGTATCAGTGCCGAGGACAGAGTCTGAGTCCATTTTCCGTAGTCCCTGGTGTCAGACGCTCAGGGAGGGGGAGGGCCACGGTCAGCCCCCAGCAGGGCCAGCAACCACACGGTCACCCCCAAGCCTCCCGCAGACCCCACCAACACGCACGGCCCACATGGGCCAGTGGGCAGCTACTGGCCGGGCCGGGGGAGGCACGGTCCAGGCCTTCTCGTGTCAGAGGAGGTGAATCGGTGCTTTGTCAACAGCAGACTCACAGCCTCGCTCTTGTTACCTTCCACTTGCGCCCAATGACATAACTAGTTCAGGCAAGAGCTATTAAAATGAAAAGCATCTGAAGGGGAGGGGAGGACCCACAATCTACTAGGAGGTCCTTTTTGAGAGAAAACCGCGGACGACGTGTTTTCACTACGTTTTGAAATTTGAAGGGAAGGAGGCTCAATGACAAGAGGCACCCAGCCAAGTTGCAGGAAAGAGGACTGAGCAGCACAGCACCGGCTCTGGGGACTGGTGTGGCAGCGGGGGGGGCTCTGAGAGACGCCGTCACAGTGCAATCCAAGATCTCACCTACCTATTAACATCCACACTGCGAACCGGACCCACGTGCCCTGGTCCAGCTGCATCATGAGATAGACGTTCACAAAGATACTCAGGACGGGAAGTACGGGCAAGAAAGGCACCTGCAAAGATACCAGGTGAGTGTCAAGTCTGCAGGGAGAGGAGCGCGTGGGGACGACGCCTTTTGAGTCCTTTAGCGAAACTACCTAGGAAACGATAGCGTCCCCGAGATTCGGACGGACTGTGCGATTTACATGGGGAGGAGGGAGTGAGTGTAGCCCAGCCCACATGCACACACACAGACGTGCCCACACACGGGCAGCGCGGGTGGGAGTCTGGTTCTAAGCTACTAAGTGCTGAAGTGAGCTCTATTCTGATTCCCCCCCCTTCCTATTCTCCTGCTAAAGAAAGGGCTAGAAGAGGGACTTCCACTTATCTCCAACAGTGGACTGCTTTATTATTTGTGTCACCTCCAAGGCTTGGTGGTGCCATGCGATCCGGCTGGATCCATGGATGAAAAGCCCCGCGGAGAGGTGTGCTGTGACACCTGAGAGGCGGGGCAGGGAAGGGTGCCTTCCTTCAGGACCGGCCCCCCTCAGCAGGTACTGTCTGCAGGTACTGTTTTCGGAGGCTGACCGGCAAGCCCCCCCTCCGCAGATACCTGAGCCTGGCAGAGCCCACGGTCCGTGGCACATGTGTGGGAACCTGCCAGGCGGCTCCCTAGGGGCCCCTTACAGCTGCTCACCTTAAAGGAGAGCTTGGTCTTGCTCTCAGGCTGCCTCCAGATGACGATTGTCACCACTGAGCAGAGAAGGGCAGATATGGTGAGCATAAAGATTGCCCACAAGTCCCCTTTTGTCAGCGCCTCCTTTCCAAGCACAGCCACAATGCAGAAGGTGAGGATTAGAATTGCTAAGGAGGGGGGAGAGAGAGAGAGAGAGAGAGAGAGGCACAATTCAATCTTGTTTCAAAACCCCACAGATATCCTCAGTTTTCCCCAAAACCTATGGAGAGGGAGGCTGTACTTCTGCAGCCATCAACCACCATCACGGTCCAGCAGCAAGACACAGGCTTATCCTTTCCTGCACTTGCCTCCACCACCAGCGACAAGAAACCATACAATGCCAACGAGCAAGACCCCAAACACCTTACAGGGAAGGGCAGGCTCTTACCTATGAGGCTGGTTGAAATGTTCACAATTAGCCCGGAGAATTTGGAAGGCTCCATATTTCTGGGTGAAAGTATGGTTTTCAAAGAAAACCTTTCTGCTTCTGGTAAAAAGCCTGTCTGGGAATCACTGGTGCTCACCAATTCATTCTGGTCCACGTGATCTAGTTCATCGGTGGTTCTGGCCATCTGGTATACCATGTTAGGCTGTTCTGGCTGATACCTGTAAAGAAACGCGGTGCATGACCGCCAAAATGTGCTTTAAAAGGGCAGGAGGACACACACTAACTCAAGTCCTAAGTTGCCCAGGACACAAAGCATAAAATGGGAAGAAGATGGTCAGGATGATGCATTCTCTGACAAAGCAGATCCAGAGGAGGGGAGCTGAGTCCCCGCCTTCTGTTCCCGCTTCTGGGCAACACCCTCCTTGGCGTCTCGGATATGAGACAATTTGACCTCCCCCGTGAACCAGCCCAGAGGAATGTCCTGACATGGCTTCTCTTGCGCTGAGAAGTAGCACTGGCCCTTGGATGCTTAAGATATTAGGCCACTTCCAACAGAACCATGGCTGAAGGGAACTAAAAATACAAACGGAAATACAACGCAGTAACGTTAGGATCCTACTTGGTCTAGAGAGCCAGAGAAACGTGTCTGCACGCTGACGGATTTGAGAAATTCTGTTTGTGAGACCTAATTGGATCAATTTATTTTAAAACTCCAAATGCCTTAGAATAAATAACTTTATACAGCTGGCTAAAGGACTGAGCCTGTGGCCTGATTTCCAAGACACAAGCTTCCTGCAAGTAAAGCATTCATATTAAATGAGGCTCCTTATCTTCCACCCAAAACAACAGAGCTCAAATCGTTTCTACCAGCTGTGAAAAAGAGAGTGCTTGCGGAATTATTTTGCATATAATGTAAGAGTGAACATAAAGATACTTAACCAGTTTTTCACTGATTCACTTATGTTAACACCAGTCAATTAAGAATGTGAGGGGACCTCGGAAAAGACGCCAGTGTTGAGCCCTTAGGAAGGAATAAGTGGTCAGAAAACTAGCAAACTAGTTTTAGCTGATTCTACACAGCCGCTACTGAGGCTCAACTGAGGCCTGACATACATTAGATGCTAAGCACGTTAGAAATGGAATTAACGATCTTGCAAGTATTCCAGGTGACCACCATTGAGAGTCTCCATGACTCCATATTCCCATGCTAAGTGCTCCCTTGAGCCACTCCTGGTAGTGAGGAAGTAGAGCCCTGTCCTTTCAGAGCAAGGAAAATTGGAGCCGGTGGGGGGGGGGGGGGGCGGGGCACTGGGGGGAGGGCACCCCGGCAGCTGGGAAGGGGGCACCAAACCCAGGCCCAGAGCTGCTTTATTATGGCCATCCTTGGGGCTGGTCTGGACCACACAAGGCTAAAGCAGCCAGAACCTGGAAAGTCTTATTGAACATCGTCAACTTTGGCCACTCCACACCCTACACAGCAGCTCACTCCTCCAGTGGCAGTGCAATGCTGCTGGAGAAGCACCACACTGACCTCAGTTTCACAGAACTTGGATTCCTCCAATTCCCACCAAGACTGGTCCCCCGTGCCAGTGCCCTCCGAACTAAGAACCTGGACCGAACTGAAACCATTACCCTAAGCCTTCAAAAACTCTGTTCCCTGGATCCAGGCCCAACAGTTGGGCGGAGAACCTGTCTCTATCCTCCCAATATCTCACCAGAAAAATGAGGGCACGTAGTAGTGAGAGGCGGGTCCCCTGACTCTTCCTTTTCAACGACGTTCTCTGTAACTAGGCTCTCAGCCACCAAATCCCACCCTCTCCAGGAGAGTTCCCAAAGGAGCTATCAACAACCTAAAATTTACACTGTATAAACCATTAACTTGATCTTTTAAAAGGCTAACAGGGGGCACCTTTCTACCACGGAACCCAGAAGAGCCATACGTACCGTAAGACCAACACACAGGCAGCCACCAAAGAGTAAGCCAGGAGAGTGCCAATTGACATGAGGTCCACCAAGTCCTTCAGGTCAAAGAGAAAGGCCATCACAGCTGGGGAGGAGACAAACATCAGGATCCATGGATGGCCCTCTACACACACTTACAGCCAGAACCACCACCCATCCGTGATCCAGGCCACACAGGGGATGTTGCTTTTACTTGCTTTCTCACCCCAGCCCTTTCCATGCAAAGACATGGTGATATTGCTTAAAAGGAAGAAAAGCTCAGAATTAAATCACACACACAGTCCTCAGCAGACGGTAATAATAATTAACATTTATATAGAGAGTACTCTGATCAACATGACCTTTACTGATCCTTACGGCAACTTTGCAAGCTATCCCTACTCTACAGATGGAGAAACTGAAGTCAAACACGTTGGGAGACTTATCTAAGGTCACACAGCCAGAAAGTGGAAAAGTCAGGATCTCAGCTAGCTAGGCTCTGAGTCCAGTGTGTCTTTCTCTACACCAAGCAGACTCACAGTCAGGTATATCTATCCATGTATCTACACACCATCCATCCATCCATCCATCCATCCCCCATCATCTATCCATCTATCCAGCCATCCAACCACTTATCCATCATCCATCCACCCAGCACTCATTGAGGGTATGCCAGTCGATGAGCACTAGATGTACACCAACAAACAGGGCAGACCAGATAGTCTCTGGCCTCCCTGAGTGTATCATCTAAGACTTAGGCATCAGCAGGCAACAGTAATGAGCAGGTGGGTGAAGTCAAGTCCAGTGCTCTGGGAGGACTCACAGGGGCTCCTAACCCAGACAGATGAGCATGGAAAGCAGTGTTACTTCCACAAACAATAGCATTAGCTTTACCGTGACCCCCACTTAAAAAAAAAAAAAAATACAACATGCATGCTTATTTGAAAATCTTTTGTAATTTTTATGAGAGTATATATCTCTCTATTTATGCGGGTATACATGTAAAGTTTCCCATTTAAAAAATAACTTGGATAGATCTACTTTGGGATATTTTCAAATATCACATGCAAACAACGCAAGTTAAAACATAAACACAAAGCCATGACTTTTCCAAATACTTCTCAAGCCCCTATAGATCACTCCGACTACAACAAATTTGAATTGGGGCTAAATAACAGGGTCAAAGAGCAATGCTGGGCCTTATGGACAATGAGAACAGTACCCAACCGTGCATGCCACAGATGCCAACGTTCCCACTCACACAGAAACTCAAGCCATACTCTTCCCATGTGGGGTGGTTTTCGAAAACCAAACACTTATTTCCCACCCCCGCCAAATGAAAAGAAGGAGCAAATCCCTGGTTTGGTGAACGCATGTGCTTTCCAGTCACTTTAAAGATTATAATTTGATCTCCCTTGATCAGCACAGGAAGGAAATTAAAGGCCAGTCTTCAATATAATCAAATTGCATGTAAATACTGAAAAAACATCTGCTATTTCCAATTCCTTAATCTCTTAAATATATTGGTCACATCCTGACGTACGGTGTCCCTTAACCTAACCACTGAGGTCACTGTCAAGATTGTACAATGACACAACAAATGTGTTAAATAATGAAACACCGGCTTTCTTTCATTATATAACATTAATCCACACGACTAAGCACACTTTGCTAAGGGCATAAATACTACTAACAACAATTCGTTCATGTAAGGTGGTCGAATGTCTTACCAATGGCTATATGGCAAGTCCCCGCAGTACAGACTGAACGTGTCCTGCTATACCAAAAAGACCCACTGCGCCACTCACACCCTGGAAGGAGCCAGCCACTTTGGCAGAAAGACAAACCAGGAACCAAGAGCCAGATCTACTGGGTGTGGGTGTACCTCCTCACTTCGCATCTCTGTGCAATGGGATAGTGCCTGCCCCATGGGGCTAGGAGGGGCCGTTATTAAAGGAGAAAATACAGAAAACCAACAGCATAGCGTATATGCACGTAAGTTTCCTTCGAGGCTTCCCTTTTCTTTATCAGGTGCCCCTGGAATATCACATCACTCCAAAGGTTCTGTGGGCACTGATTTCAGCTTCAAAACTGTCCTCTTGGTGAGGAACCTGATATTTGAGAAGATAACCTGATAACCTCCTCTGAGCCTCTGAGGCTGCAATATTTATAAACTCATACGGCAACTGACCCCAGCAACACCCTCAATATCTCCTGGAAAATAGCAGCACACTTCATAAGACACTGATACTAAGGGATTCTCATTTCCCCGAGAATTCCCAGGCGAAGATACCCGGACAATGAATTTCCAGGACTAAGAAAGTCACCTGGCTTATACCATGCACGAAGATGTCACCCCACCCAAGTCTACTCAGGGACATTCAGAAAAGGGGCAATGTGAACAGCGCTGAAGAAACAGTACGTGTTCCACGCCCTGCCCAATCAGAGGACAATGATAATAAAATAATTCAACTTTTTGAGAATTCTATCACATCCTCTGTACAACCGGCCTCCCCCTTAAGTCAAAAGGGCAGTCATCTGGCAGTAATCCAGGTTCCAACGGTGAAAACCAAACATGAAAAGGGCCAGTTCCAACTTCTCACAGACCAATGCAACTCAAGATATTTCCGTGAGGACTCAACAGTTAAAATACTGGCATGTGGAATTCTTACCAGCAATGGCACCTGAGGTCAACGTGGCGATTATTGGTGTTTTGGTCCTATCGTTGATTTTGGCCAAAAATTTAAACAGCAGTCCATCTTCAGCCATGGCATAGATAACTCGAGGCATGGGGAACATGGAACCTAAAAGACTAAACGGGAGGAAGAGGCAAAGCGCACCTGTGACACCAACTCTTCGGGAAAAAAGGCACCATAACGTGACCACTATGTGGTTTGCCATGATGCACACCACCAAGACGGAGCCCTGAACTCCTCGCCAAGAGCTGCCACCCTCCAAACTAGGTGAAGTCCACGGCTACAAGACAAATTTCAATACATCAACCCCGGAAAAAGCACTTACTGTGGCTGTGAGTCAGTGAATGGCAAATGTCTAACATAAACGAGGGTAGGGTCTAGTCATAATTTTTATGAAAGGGAAATTCTGTATTCATTCCCACGATAACTCTAGCTCAAACAGAAAATAAAAGGACTGCTGCGTTCACGAGGATCTCTCTGTGGTTAATCAATGTTTACCAAATATTCCCTATATGTACAGGCTAATAGGAATTCCAGGGGCAAAATGTTTCTTATTAAAAGGCAATTCCCTTTCTCAAGGGAGCCTCTCCTCTATGGCCAAATTACGGTGTTCAAAGAGGTGGCCTGGTCCAGGGGCCAGAGCTGGGGACAGAAAGCCAGACTTGCTGAGCAGATGATGTTAGAAAGTGGGCCCCCGACTCTCCAGAATGAAAGATCAATAACAGTTCGTGGTTTGGTTGATAACACAAGGGGAGAAACCACATCATCAGGGTTGGGGTGCTGGTTCGACTTCAAGGGAAAAGAGTGACGTGAACAGCACCCCCCGTGCGTCGGGCCTCACACGGCCCGCTACAGCTTACCTTCCCAAGAGCTTCAGAGGCCTCACCTGGTAGAGAGAGCACAGAGGGAGCCGACAGCCACTGCATACTTGGCACCTTCCCAGCCCACGTGCTTGAAGGCATCAGGCAGGGGGCTGTCCTTGTCCAGGCAGAAGTACGGCATCATGAGTGTGAGGGCGGCAGACACCCCGAAGTAAGCAATAAAGCAAATCAGGAGGGAAGCGACAATCCCCACGGGGATGGCCTTCTGAGGGTTCTTGACTTCTTCACCTGGAAGCAGCAAGGAGTCAGGCCCAGGAGGGCGAGCCAGCGAGGGGCATCCCCATGAACCCAGAAGGCGCCTGAAGACTTTCAGTGCCCAGAGAGCCCGTGTCCCCCACGAACGACTACCCCGCAGTGCTCGGCCCAGTGGGAAACACGGTCTTTCAGGACCCACGGGGGGGGGGGGGGGGGGCCTCTCCCAACACAGACCAGAAGACCCAGACGCCCAGGGATGGCGTTCTAGGCCTTTACTCCGTGGTTCAGCCAAGGAAAAGACTTGTTTTCTTTGGCAGAGAAAATTCAGGAGGCCTGATAGAGCCCAGCCTATTCAATCACAAGAAGAACAATATTTTTAATGGCCTCATTTCTCCCGGATGATGCACAGATATGAAATCAGGCTGCAGCTACGGCTGTCATGATCCCATTCTGACGGCTGAACGCTTAGTCACGTTCATGATGCAGACTTTCCTGTCAGGCGCTGCCGCTTGGGGAAGTGATGGGGGGGGGGGGGAGATTAGCAGGAAGCTCCAAATCTACACGTTACTCATGTGTGAAGGAGCTGCAGCCGGCACATGCCCGCAGGAAGGAAAACAGCAACCCGTGGGTAAAGTCAGTCCAGCCCATCTGACGAGAAAGGAGGACCCTCCGCCCGGGCTCCGGACGGCGAGTGGGCGGGCGGCGTACCTGTGGTGGCAATGCAGTCAAAGCCCACGAAGGCGTAGAAGCAGGTTGCTGCCCCGGACAGGACGCCAGAGAATCCGAAGGGCATGAATCCGCCATCACCAGGTTTCCCTACTTTCGTGTCACTGGAAGAAAAGAGCCAAAGACCATGAACACCCACTTCACGGTCCTGAAGAGACGCCATCCCGGTCACCCCACCCGCCGCTGGGCAGGGGCGCTCCAGACCCTTAGTGAATGATTCCCGAGACAGCTGTCACCCCACCGGTCACCCGGTGGGCCACGGGCCTCTGCTTTGTGAAGCCCAGCCACAGGCGCAGTCGCTAAGCCCTTTCCACAAGCACCTTCTAAATGTCAGCTTCGGGGAGGGGGTAGGGACTACGAGATGGGGGTGCCCAACGGGAAAGTGGGAAGAAACCAGTACGTGAGGCCTCTCCCCCAGGACACTCAAACGAACAACATATACTTTAGAACACAGAGCTGCCAAGTGGGTGCAGGGCCCCCCCACCCCAGGAACCAAATGTGTAAAGTTTCCCATATTTACCAGCAACTCAGGTCTCAAAAGCAGCAGAGATACTGAGGTTAAAAAAAAAAAAAAAAGAACCGTGTTATTAGTCGACGAAAGCGCCTCCTAAGCCCCCACACGCACGTGGTAAGCAGGGATGCCTACGTGGGTGCGGACCAGTGCCTACGTGGCTCGGGCACATGGGCGGGGCTCGGAACATATCTGCCAAGGTAACAAATACCCAGTCCAACACATGTTGTAAGTCCTTTAAGATTCAGAAAATAGTTCCAAGGAAGTGAAACGTGAGTCTCTAAATAGTGTGTCCAGGCCCAGAACAGCCGCACGGAGCCCGGGGCTGGCCATCACTCAAATCATTCTGGACGGCTCCTCCAGGCCCTGCCTGTCACCAAGTGATTCTAAGCCTCATACGCCCCGGTCTTCTGCCACCGCCTGAAAATCAGCAGAACTCCCAGCCCCCTTCATCAGCCATACGTTTAGCTGGCTGCCAGGCTGCAGGCTTTCTGTCACATGGTCACCTATACAGAGTCCCAGAGGACAACTGTCCAGCTCTGCAGAGCAAGCTGCCCCAGACCACGTGACTTCCAAACATAAGAAGAGGAGCCATATAGAATATTCCAGTCCTACAGATGTTACAGTTGGGTTAGCAAATTGTTGGCCAAATTTGCTTTCAGAGGGATTTATCAACTAATAAAACAGACAGCCACTTTGGACCCAATATTTCCTAATAAAGACTGAGCCTGGTACGGATTCCTAGAGGGTTCCTGGTAACAGAACCTGCCACTGAGCCACTGGAAGTCAGAGCGTGAAGCCAGTCCTCAATCTGGCACCTACTACCGTTCAGTAAGTAGCAACGTGAGGGAAACCCCAAGAAACACACAAGTGATAGACGCAGGAAAAATTGTTGCTGCCAGACTCAAAGGGAAGCTGTCAGTTTAAGCTAGGACTAAAATAAACCCACGAGCGAAGTACAAGAACGGCAGCCCAGGACAAGTCAGTCAGCAAGCCACAGGACGCACCCACTGCATCCACACATCACAAAGAACATAGAATGCCTTGGTGGGCTGACGCCTATTATAAAAAATTTTAGGCCAAAGCCCAGAACAAAACCGCTGACAGCCAAATCCCTCAGGAGAGAGGGATGAGAAGATAAACGAGGGACACTCGCCATCGAGAGGGCTTCTGGGGGGCTCCTGGAAGACTCTTTCGACTTCCGAACATGGCTAGAACCTCAGGTCTTCGTCAAGACCCAGCTTCCCTGTAACTGCCAGGACAGACAGACAGGCGTGGAAGGCCTCCAGATGCCCACCCGCCTCCGCGGAGCCCTCTAACATCAAGGGCTATGGAACAGCCGCGAATAAGAAGAAATGAGCGCCAGGACTGACGGGTTTGCTTTAACAACCGTAAGGCAGAGGCACCCACAAAGGTTTTAAGAATTCCATGTGAAGGGAAGAGGAAAGTGCAGGACATTACAAACATCAAACCCTGGAAAGAGGCCTCGCAGAAGAGGGATAGGGCCAGAACGTGCCTTTGTCACGCGAACAGGTGAAGCGGTGACCACCGAGCGCGGAGCTGGGGATGCCTAGCAGAGCACGAGAACGGCATCCTCCCTCCTCAGGACCGCAGCGGGGCAGGACTCCGATGGAAGGGGAGCCACACAGAAAGTCTGTCCCTGCATAAACTCCCGGGGCCACCAGCAAGAGTAACCAGGTTGCCACCGACTGTGTGTCCCCTCCAGCCGGGGCCCTTCTCGACTCACTGGCCACACGGGTGCTCGGACACCACGTATCGACAACAAAGGACAAGGTCCTCGCGTACGAAAAGCCCTGCGGGATATGCTAGCAAGGGAAGCACGCGAGGTGCAGAATGTACCTCCCTTTCTGTGAAAAGAGAGGGGAATATACATATAAATTACGTATATGAGTTACAAAATAAATGTAAATGTATACTTACAATTGCTTGTATTTATACCAATAAAAGCTAGAAGCTTACACAAAAAAATAGTAAAAATGATCACCTATGGCGGGGGGACAGTGAGGTAGATGAAGCAATGGGACAGAATTTCTCAGTGTAAACCTTTTTATAACATCACGACATACGAACCACGTGAAACATTATCTACTCAAAAAACTAAGTTCAACGTTTAAGAACAGTGTGGGGGGGCGCCTGGGTGGCGCAGTCGGTTAAGCTTCCGACTTCAGCCAGGTCACGATCTCGCAGTCCGTGAGTTCGAGCCCCGCGTCAGGCTCTGGGCTGATGGCTCGGAGCCTGGAGCCTGTTTCCGATTCTGTGTCTCCCTCTCTCTCTGCCCCTCCCCCGTTCATGCTCTGTCTCTCTCTGTCCCAAAAATAAATAAAAACGTTGACAAAAAAAAAAATTAAAAAAAAAAAAAAAAAAAAAAAAAAAGAACAGTGTGGGGATCCCGCTCTCGGTGGCAACGTATCGCTGGGAAACCACCACAGAGCCCATTCTACTTTGCCTCAAACCAAAACATTTTGCAAAGGCTCTTTATATAGATCAATAATTAGCCCGTGATCTGCAGGCGGTGGTCGTGCCCGCTCGGCATCTGGCAACTTACACACGAAGAAATGGGGAGGCAGGATCGTGCCACCACGTGGCGAACGTCGCCTGGCGACAGAGCAGGCTGAAGCCAGATCTCAGATCGGTGTCCCCTCCCCTGCAGCTGGGGTGACCGGCTCCTGTGCATCCCACTCAACTGGTTACCCAGACGTTAGCAAATAACTGGCAGAGGAAGGAAGGAAGAAACATCCCCGAGCCTGGGGTGAGGACTTGAGAGGGAGCCTCCATGGTGGTGAGGGGGGTCCTCCCCCTGTGTGGCCTTTTCCCACGACATCAGTGGAAAACATCCTTCACCAAGACTCAACCGCTGTCGCTTCCACCCACCAGCCCTGACATAAACTGCTGGTTGTCCCCAGAAGCCACACCCCCTTCTTCTCCACAGTCCTAAAACTGAATTATTCTAGCTAGACATGGGAACACCAGGAACAAAGACAACATGCTTCTCAGATTCTCCAGCTACAAGGTGTAGCCACTTGATGTAAGCAGGCCTGGTGTACACAAGTCCTGAGAAACATCAGGCAAGTGAGGTGGAGAGCGAGGCTGCTCTTCTACTTTTCCCATTTTCTTCCTGCTGGTGGGAGCCATCTTGGACCCCGGGGTGATCTTGGGAATGTGGGCCGTGGACAAAGCCATCAGATGGAAGAACCACCAAAGCAATATGCTGGACTGCCTGCAGATGTTCACTTAAGAGAACTACGCCTCTATCTTGTGGAAGCCAATGTTATTTTGGGGTTTTCATCCCAACTGAAGACAGACTATCCAACCAAACCTTCTCAGTAGGTTTCTATGCAGTGCTGTATCTTTACACTTACTACATCTGTTATCCATCTACCGGACTGTGGAGAAGAAAGCCAGAGGGAGCACGTGGCGAAGGCAGTAGGGAACCAGCCAGACTGTCGGATGACATTCCTATTTCAGACCAAGAGACAGACTCCAGGTTCACGGGGGCCTTTACAGCCAGTCACGGAGAGAGCATCATAAAATCACAACCCGATGTGGTCAGAACTGCCACCAAAGCCACGCAGGCTGAAGCTCCGCCATGCTTAGTGGTTTGGTCGGGAAAAGCCCTATTGTTTCAGAGAGACAAGCAATTTCATGCAAGGCTACATGGCCATGGTCAGAAGTACAAATCTACGGCTGGTTGGCGGGTGGGGGGGGGGGGGGCAGAGAAGCAGTTTAGAGGTTTTAATAAAATGAAAGAGCAAGCTACACCCGAGACCCGCAGCACTCTACTGCAGAGGCAGTGTTCCCGAGGCTGGGGCCAGCACAGTTCATCACCACCAGGACACAAAGTGTGTGAGGACAACCAATGCTAATAAATACCATCAGCTGGCGCAAACCATCTCTTCGTAAACACAATAAAATTACATCTCGATCGACAACCAGGAAATAGGACCTGCCATCTATATTTAATTCCTGATCTGTAAATAGCAACCAGAAAGATAGTCCCCCACGTCTCAGAAATCTACTGTTACTTCCAAGCGTATTTGGAACTGGCTTCACTCCAGGCTGAGTTAATGAGCACCAATAAATGTGGCATAAATGCGGCTCAGGAATGCTACATTAGAAATCCTCATTTCTCAGGGGTGCCCGGCTGGCTGAGTCAGTACAGCATGTGACTCTGGGTCTTGGGGTCATGAGTTCAAGCCCCACACTGGGCAGAGAGCGCACTTAAAAAACAATTAAAAATCCTCATATCTCTGTAATCGATTTGAACCATTAACCACATAGTATTTCATGCATTCAATTCAATAGTTTCCTGTAGTGAACTAGTCACGCATCAATGCCTGTCCAGTGACCGGACCACTGGAAGATATGACCCGGCCCTAACCAGAGACCAAGTTCCCCATGACCGCTCGGATCCCCAGCATGGGACCTCATTTCTCTGCCTCCCTTGCAGCTAGATGTGGCCACCTACTGGATTCCCACCAGTGGAATGTTGGTAGAGGGGACACGTATCTTCCGGATCTGCCCTTGAGAGCCCTGGGCATGCTCTCTTTCACCCCCTTCCTCCTCTGGGACAGCTGGAGCTTGCCTGTGCCCACAGCCCAGGTCTGACCGTGCAGAAGAGGACAACATCCTAGGGCATGACGGAACAATCAGGTCGACGACCAGGGTTCCCGAAAGCCTGTGTGCAGACAGGATGGCCAGTCAACCTGGTGTGCTCATGTCAGGATCTGAGACATCCTTTTAAAACCACTGCATTTCAAGAGGGTCTCCTTATCAGAGCAGTTTAACCTTTGGTCATAATTAAAGTAGAATCGGGGCGCCTGGGTGGCGCAGTTGGTTAAGCGTCCGACTTCAACCAGGTCACGATCTCACGGTCCGTGAGTTCGAGCCCCACGTCGGGCTCTGGGCTGATGGCTCGGAGCCTGGAGCCTGTTTCCGATTCTGTGTCTCCCTCTCACTCTGCCCCTCGCCCGTTCATGCTCTGTCTCTCTCTGTCCCAAAAATAAATAAACGTTGAAAAAAAAAAATAAAGTAGAATCACAGACAAAACCTCACTCCCCCCTTGTCCATCCTAGAACCCTAAGATTTACCTGAAAAATCTGACAAAAAAAAAAGATCAAAAAGAGAACATTCTAATTGGCTGGCTTTTCTTTCCTAGGTAACCTGAGCTTGCTGACGAGGCTTCACTGAGGGCCCTGAAAGAGCACAGGTCCGAGAGCAGGCCTGTCACCTGCCTCCCATCCCGGGCATCTTGAGTCAGAGACTATAAGGGAGATAGGGCCACTGGCTTTCAGGGCTGGTGTACCCCAAGTCGAGGGTGGGAGAAAGAGACCATTATAATCACATTTCAACACTTCAGTCATTCTGAAAACCTCTGATAAAAGCCTGTGATAAAAGTTTCACATATTTCTTGCCTCTGCATTATTAATAGGAAGACATTTCAGGGTCAAGTGACATCACCATGGTTTTGCAGAGAAAATCTTCTCTGAATGTAAAACTTAGAGGCTGGTCATGAAACAGAATGTGAGGAAAAACAGATAACTTACGGAGTCTGACAAAGATCCCCAACTATGTGTAATTTTAGAATTAGCATGAAATTTGTTTTCCTGAATAGCCTCATCATACAATGTTCTGTCGAGTTCAGAGAAATGAAACCTAACACAAACGTCAAACAAATAAAACACTCTCAGCTATTTTACTGCAAAAAAAAAAATTAATTCAAATTCAAATTATATTTGTTGAAAAGGCATATACTGTTCTAGCCGATGACATGCCCCCAATGCATGTGTGTATTGTTAAGTACGAATCAGTTGTCACATGCTGAGAGGAAGACGAACAACTCACTTGTTCAGGCAGAGATGATGGGATGTGTTCTTGAAATCTTCCTCCGTGAGCTGCCAGTTTTTAATCGATCCTTTCACGAATCCTGACACCATTATGAAGCCCAAGACCAGAACGTTGATACAAGTGAATATTTTGTTGACCATGGCTGACTCCTTCACACCGAGAGTTAAAAGTCCTGAAAAACCACACAAACAAGAACATTTTGCCTGAGGGTGTTAACTTTGGGCCAGGCGAGTCCTTCCTGGGACAGGAACAGGGATCAGACGAGAAGGTGACTTAGAAGAAGAATCCAAGTGGCACCAAACCTCCCAAGATTTCTGTGAGCCTCTGGGAATGGGGCTGAGTCAGTAATCTTTCTAGAGGTAGGTATCAAAATAACCAAAGTCCATGGGTGGTTCATAAAGCTGTCGAAGTTGGCCTTCCAGGTCAACTCCCCTCTGGAGTTGAGGATGTCACCCAGGGGGCACCAAAGGACTGCAGAGATGGTGAGCACCACGGCCAACCACCCTGGAGAGCAAGCCCCCCACCCAGGGAAGGAGAGAAGGCCTCTCCCGGCACCCTCTCCCCCTCACTAATGTACTTTCCTGGGACTCCCCTCAGTGGGGCAGGAATTTTTTTTTCTCCAAGGAGGAGACACTTTGCTCAGTTTCTTGGTAGAATGAAGGGAGTTCTTCAGATGAGAAAATTATTCAGACTCACTGTGGAATGTTAGCAATGACAACTCTTGATGATTAGGGAACCACGGATCATGTGGTTCATCATCAGACTCAGTGCATGTAAAACAATGTCTAAGCTAGACTAATTATAGCTCATAAACGCACATCAAAAAAAAAAAAAAAGGTAAGTGATAACAATACACAGGAACCATATGACAACACTGTCTCTGAGGCTTACAGGCCACAGGATCACCTTGGGGTGAATGTGCCATTTGGGGACTTCTGTGGTTAAACTCCTGGCTAGCTAAGAAAAGCCTGGAAAGGCGTCCAGGTGACAGGTGACCACCACTTATGACTTGAGACTGTTGCCCTGCCATGTACACCTTTTACACTTAAAATATAAAATGCATTTCACAATAGATTGAATTCTGAAGTGAAGGCAATAGGAGGGAAGTGAGCAATTAATCACAGCGAATACCGCATCGTGTTCTGCCCTGTTTTCTCTTTGGCGTCCCTCCCTCTCATGTTTATGAAAATCTCACTAGTGCGAACTTGATTTCTGATACGTGTCTCCAGTGCTTGCTTCAGCAGCACATATACTAAAACTGATACGTGTCTCTGCCAGCTGGACCAGAATACTGCTGAGACTGGCCTGTGCAGGATGATTTCAATTACATGGTGCGTAAAATAAGGCATGTTGTTTTTAAAACCCACCCAGGGGGCGCCTGGGTGGCTCGGTCAGTTAAGCGTCCGGCTTTGGCTCAGGTCGTGATTTCACGGTCCGTGAGTTCGAGCCCCGCGTCGGGCTCTGTGCTGACCACTCAGAGCCTGGAGCCTGTTTCAGATTCTGTGTCTCCCTCTCTCTGACCCTGCCCCATTCATGCTCTGTCTCTCTCTGTCTCAAAAATAAATAAACATTAAAAAAAATGAATAAAAAAAATAATAAAACCCATCCAAGATTTTCTAACCTCAAAGGGGAATTTATCTGCATTTAGTCTAATGCTTACACCGTAAATGCCACATAGAACAAAACTCCCATCCTCAAGGCTGAGACACAGACAAACGTCACTAAGAACAAGCTGCCATCCGCTGCGTTCAAGCAATATTGGGAATTTTAAAATTCTGGACCCACAATTCTGTCAGGAGACTTACCTATTTAAAGGGCGTCTTGACAGCTGTTAGGTGTAAAACCATCTAAGACTTCTCCAACACCCAAGGCACACGGTGGTGCTCCAGACCGACCTCACCCCCTACATCTTCCGGGCTGAAGAATGCCACTTTCCTTTCCAAATGCTCATCCACCGAATCAAGGGAATTTGCACTCCTGGGTCACTTGTACAAAAAGCTTGCGGCCCTCACAAAATCCTACTCCACAAACCACTACACAAACACCCGAGACTCCCCTTTAATTAAATGACATGTGGCCTTGACAGCTATTAAAGTACCTTGTGTGTACCAGAAGCCATTAAGACAAAAAAGATGTCTGTATTCGTTATAGAAAGAAAAATAGAAAATGAGGGAAAAGGAGAAATAAAAAGGGAAGAAACAGACCTAATGGGAGCCTGTCTCACCCCCTCAGGCCCCTCACTGCAACCTGACGTGTGTGTGACTGTGGAGCTTTACCTGTTAAGATAAGAATTATGATCACAGCGAATATGTCTGGGTTTTCGGCCAGCACGCCGGGGGCATGCAGAGCCATGTGCATCCGTGAGAACTCCCCGATGGGTTTGCCAATCAGCTCGTCGAACGTCGCACTCCAGGCCCTCGCCACGCTTGAAGTACCTGCCACGAAACACAGGTACCAGAGGAAACTGAAGAAGAACGATTAACAGTATTTGTCATCGAGCTCAGCTCCACCTCCGCGCGGGGGGTCACGGATGACGCGCTGGAACTTGGCGGTGGCAGCCGGACCCCGGTCTGTGCTAGCTCGGAAATGAGACTCGATTAGTGTCTGCAGTGAAGTGAGAAGAAAGGGCAGGCTTCACGGGCCTGGAAAGAAACACAACTTCCCATCACAACCCAATGTGAGCACGTATACTGTGTCCCAAAACTATGATTGACTAACGTTTTACAAAACAGCGTTATGACCCTTATCGCCTGAGACATGCTCTGATAGTATGTATTCAACTCTACATACTTTATTTTGTTACTGAAAGAAATACTGGTGGCAAACCATAGCATCGATTTTGAGATCCACTCACGGGGTGCGGTCGGCAGCCGGGGACACCTGGCTCAGGAAGCTCCTTTTCCAAGACCCTGGGACAACAGAGCTGATGGTCCCCATCCACAGGTGAACGCTGTTCTCCCCGCAGGAGGGGGCCGACGAGACCTACCCAGGCTGACCCTCACGCTCAGTGACAAAGTCACCGGCTCACCCCGGAGTGGGCGTCAACCCACCTCTGCCACTTGTGTGCCCAGACTGGACTCGCACCGCCTGACTCGGGGGCCACGGGTCCCCAGGTGTCTGACCACAGACAACGCCAGCTCCACGCCCCCGCCATGAAGAACACAATCAGATGCGGCCCCACAAATGCCGACGACTGTTGACTGCGCTCTCCTCCTATCAACCTGAGTAAAGTCACTGCTTTTCCAGGAAATGTCACTAAAATTCCAGTACTCACATAGAGCATTTTCCTTTGTTTCCAAAGGGGGCCTTATTGGTGACTGTGGTCTGGATCATCCAGAGGATTTGGCCAAAGGGAACTACAGAAATGTGATGTTGTTATTTGCTATCTTGCCGAGTATTTTTCCATCGACTCAAAAATTTAACCATGTTTCTTCATCCTCAGCATCTAGTCTATTATGACTTCTGTCCATCAAGGCCACAGCCCCAGTGAAGAAAACTGGTCTCCCCACCACCTCCCCGACAGAGGCCAGCTCTCTGCTGATCAGACTCTGAAGCCTGCTATGCAGGGTGAGGGGATGCCCAGCCTTCCTTCCTGGCCTACCCCACTCCCTATCTCTGAAACGTGGCTAAAAAAAAAAGAGAAAGACACACACACACACACACACACACATTTGCTAGGAAAAACTGCCCTTCCCTAAAAGCTAAAGCTGAGAATCACCCACAAGGACACATGCATGAGTCAGTCCCCTACAAGCAAACAGCACTCTGGCAAATAATCTTTCATTTGTCAGTGTGGAAGCCGTGGACAATTCATGCCTGTGGTTTTGCTTTAGGACCAGGTAAATCCTCTGGGAGCCTAACAGCCCATTTCAGACAGCTATGTTCCCATACAGAGACTTGAGCTTATACGAGCATTTGCGGTTGTAACTTTTGCTGTTGTACTGAAGAAAAAAAAAAACCCACATTATTAGGAATTTTATTTTTGAACTTAGAAGCGTGAGCTATTGTGGCTGTCATTAGGTACCACAGTCACTGAAAAGAAAGGGAAGGTGCTGCTCAGAGAGCCTGGTGGGAGCCCTCTGCCAGCTGGCCTGGGCAAGTGGCAGTGGGGGCCGAGGCCAGCACCCAGAGGGCAGCACACGGTCCCCTGCAACATTCCCAGTGCGGGGGACACAGGAGCGAGCCAGGACCCACTCACCACATCCTCCTGTGTTTTGATGATATTACAGAAAGCTTGCTGAAATATAAGTGGAATGTTTAGTGGCTATTTATATTTCTACTTTTAGGAACTGGCCATTCATATCCTTTGGTTATTCTTATATTCAGGTGTTTGTCTCTTTTAAGTTGATATGTTCAACTCTGGTTGTATTCAAAATACAAACAACATAAAGAGAAACACCTTCTCACCTACCAAATTGAGAAGACTTTGTATTTTTAGTGTCTTTGTTGGTTTCTTATTTCTAATGCCAGTGCCCAAGTCAGCAAGTACGTGAGGAAAGGGGCCCCTGGCCATCTGGAGGATCACAGATAACACGGGCCTTAAAAATATATAAGCCTAAAGGGCGCATGGGTGGCTCAGTTGGTTAAGCACCAGCCTTTGGCTCAGGTCACGATCTTAGGGTTTGTGAGTTCGGGCCCTACATTGGGCTCTCTGAGCAGAGCCCTCTTCTGATCCTCTGTCCCCCTCTCTCTCTGCCCCTGCCCCACTTACACTCTCTCTCTCTCTCAAAACTAAATAAATTAACTTAAAGGAAAAAAAGAACGGCTGACATGCTCAACACCAAAGAAACATACACAGGCCTGGGGCACCTGGGTGGCTCAGTCAGTTGAGTCAGCTGAGGTCATGATCTCATGGTTTCTGGGTTCAAGCCCTGTGTCGGGATCTGCCCTGGTAGCACAGAGCTTGCTTGGAATTCTCTCTCTCCATCTCTCTCTGCCCCTCGCCTCCTTGTGTTCTCTTTCTCAAAATAAATAAACATTTTTTTTTTAATATGCAGCCCACTGACCTACACACTCTGCTTCTTAAGACCATTTTAAAAGAAAAAGAAATCATGTCTATGCCCGAAGACATTAAGTGATTAACTGTTTACAACAATAATAACACAACTGGAAACAATCTAAATACCCTACAAAGACATCTAAAAAATTATGCTATATAGAGAAAACTATATAAGGATATACACTCATTTGGAATAATACTGCAGAAAAATCCTTAATATTGTAAGAAATGCTTACTATACATTGCTTTATCAGTCAAGAGACATACTGGACAAAAAAAAATACATTTCTGTTTACAAAAATATTAACAACAGCTAGATCCCTAAACTCTTATGAACAGAGATTGTCTTATTCCTCCCTTGGGTCCCTAATATCTAGCATAATGTCTGGCACAGGGGATGGACTCAATGAATATTTGTTGAAAGAATGAATGAATAAGAATTAATTTCTCTGGGTTGTTACACTGGGCAATGTCTACCTTCTGCATTGCGCTTTTCTGTATTTCCCAAGTTTTCTCTATCAGTGGTATGTTTATGCTAGTAATTGTAATCAAAAATACTAAAAGGGACTACGCTCTTTTAAGTAACAACAGCTTCCCATTGATTCTACATCTCTTGTGTTAACAGGACTGACCTCCTGGTTGGTCTGGCTTATTGTCACTAACAGTCCGATGCGCCTGATAGTTAAAAACAGGGGCACAGACCAGAAAGAGCAGCGATACCCAAAGGCTGCCCCCTCCTTTCATAAAAGGGAAAGGGAACACGTACAACAACAACAGTCAAGGGAGGATGCTAGACTCTTCGAGAGGAGTTGGACTCAGTCCATTTGGGGAGCAAAGCAGAGTATGGCCCGCCATTTAGAGGTAAAAACAGCAGAGGGGTAAGGGAGCGGGCTCCAGGCCTCCTGGGACGTACCAATGATGTAGGAGAGGATTAAGTTCCAACCAGTGATGAAGGCCCAGAGCTCCCCGACGGTGACGTAGCTGTAGAGGTAGGCCGAGCCTGTCTTGGGGACCCGAGCCCCAAACTCTCCATAGCAGAGGCCAGCCAGCACTGAGGCCAGCGCTGCAATCAGGAAGGAGATGACAATGGCAGGGCCTGCGTCCTCACGGGCCACAGCTCCGGCCAGGACATACACGCCGGCACCCAGCGTGCTGCCCACCCCGAGCGCCACCAGGTCAAAAGTGTTCAGGCAGCGAGAGAGCCGGCTCTCTTCCCGGCTGCAGTCCACAACCTTCCGGCGCAGCATCTGATGGCCAATGCCGAGCAGAACTTTGCACCCCATCGTGCTGACCAAATCTGCGGGAGAAAGAGAATGGAAGCGCTCGTTATTGCCTTTCATTCCACCCGTTAACCTCATCTTATCACAACACAGACGGCCACCATGTCCTTCACTCTCATTTACTGCTAAAATGTTGTAAATCTCAGAATTCCACAGCTGGCTGTCAGAACATCCATCGGCAACTTGGCCCAGTCTCAGGCTTACCCAGCATGGATAGAAATGCCCCGGAGGCCAGTCTACCCAGCTGCCTGGACTTTGAGGTCTCTGAGCTTCCACATTTACTTCAGTTCTCAACTGAGAGCCTTCTATGGACAGAAATTACACGGTATGAGAAACACAAATTAATGGCATTGTTCTTTTCCTCACTAATCACACAATGCACCAGGAAAAAGAAGATATTATTCCAAGTGGAATGCTACAGAAAGCAAACCGATCCAAACCCAGAGGCCTTGAATAGCAATGACGATGCCTTTTCAGACCTTTCTGAGATCCCGAGGGCAAGAACCAAGCTGCTTCCACTTTTAAGTTAACACAGAGTTAGGTACAGAGCAGAAAAAATTGTTGAATTGTTACAAGTTAGGGTTTTTTTGTAACTGTTACCACTCCAAGAAGCCCTTTTCTTCTGGTGCAAAATATTAGCCAAATGTGCTACATGATAAGCTTCTGAGCACAAATCAAGAGAGGGCACGTGTTCACCAATGGCTTATGTCCCCCAACCTATTTCACCCAGAACAAGCCCAGTGTGGGGCCCCAGGATGAGTGCACATCATGGACAGCATCCCAGGCCAGCATGCCAATCCCTCTCCTATAACACACAGGCCAATTCTGCCTGGGCAGCTCATCCCAAGGGGGCGAAGAGGGCCAGCAGGCACTTGGCCAGGATATTAGCGCCCACCCTCAAACACATGGAACGTAAACCCCCAGACTTAAGGGGATTGCCCACATGACTTCCCTCCATAGAAGGCAGTCTGGAAAGGGCAGAAAAGACTGGAGAAACCTAACCAACACTACCTCGGCCAGGGGGCCATGGTCAACAATGATAAACATTTGATTAGGTGATGTGACGGGAAGGGCACTTGATCTCTCTGATCTTTCTCCCCAAACCCATCACCCCAGTCTAATCATGAGAATAATATCAGAACGATGACAGATACGTTCTATAAAACACCTGACCAGTGTTCCTCATAACTGTCAGGTCCTTAACAACAAGGGAAGGTCAAGAAACTGTCACAGACAAGAGGAGCCCTAAGGGAGACATGACAACTAAATGCAATGTGGGATCCTGAAGTAGAAAAGGGGTAAGGGGAAAACTAAGGAAATCTAAATAAAGTACAAGTATCAATATTGGGTCATTAGTTATAACCGATCATCCACATGAAGGTAAGGTGCTAACAACAGAGGAAACAAACAGAGGTCTGGAGTATATGGGAACTCTTTTTTCTATACTCACAATTTTTCTATAAGTCTAAAACTGTTCTAAACTGAAGAGTTTATTTTTAAAAAACACCACGTGCAGAGAGAAGCTATCATCATGACTTTTAGCTACTGAGGTACAAAAAAAATATCACTGCTTTTTCATCTTTATTATCAATTGGCGTTTATTGACCCAACCTTGCTACAATTAAGTGACCGGAAAACAAAATAACCTAAACAGAAAACGGCAGACCTAGCAAAGTCCACACCTAACCACCTAGAAGACCTGACCTGCTCACCCACACCCTGTGACCTCAGCCTCCGGACACAGTTTGGTCTGGCACCCTCCCGGCCCCAGCCAGGACCCTCTGTGTCGTCACACAGGAACAGGGGTGGGCCTCTCCATACTTCATCTGACCGACCAAGAGTAAAAAAAAAAAAAATGTTGATCTCAGGACTCAGGAAGTTTTCAGGTAGGATGAGGAGTAACAGTCACGTGTTCTGATCCCCTTGTTCTAAAGATGAAGAAAAATGACTCGGAGAGCCAAGGGTCAAACAGGGTCATGGCGCTGGGAAGGCACAGTGGCCCAAGTGCTCATCTAGGGCTCCAGCATTCAAGGTGGGAAGGAAATGACATCACTGTGCAGTGAGGTGGGGAGGATGTGGGGAGGAAATGAGGAAAGACGACATTATTTGTGGAGCCACAGTGGGGCAGGAAGACCCCAGACACCAGGGTGTGACAGGAGCTGGAAAGGGCACGGGCTGCGAACAAGGGAAGAGCAGGCACAGAGACCAGTGGCTCACCAGTCTCTTTCAGGCCACATGCTGCTTCTGAGGTGCCCCAGGACAGCAGCGAGCGATACCCGGGCAAGACAGGTTTCCCAGACAGTCAAGATGAGGCCCTCAGTGACCTCAGGTCCTGGAGAAGGCCCCAGCTCTGCTGAGAGAGCCCAGGGCGTGATTCCTCCCGACCCACCTTTTCTTTTCCTCCTTACAGGACTTAGCTGGATTTACTCAACTCGGTTTGTAAATCACAACAAAGCTTTTAGGAAACAATTGCTCGGAAAATGAGCTAAAGATGCACCATTTCAACACCACCGCTGGCAGAAAAAGCAGCGCTTGGGGCTGTGCAGAAACCCTGTAAAATAACTTCTCGCCATCATTTTTGGCAGGGCGAGGAGTATGTGAAGTAGACAGGAATCTCAAAGGGAAGCGGAGTGTGAAAGGTCCTGGACTGTTGTGCACTTGCATGGTTTTCAAGCTGATCGGTAAATGCAACTGACATCTAGAGAGCGCCTCCCTGCTCCCCACCCTCTCCTAGATGTAGTCTGGTTAATAATAAGTAGATTCTCTCCCCCAAACAATAAAAGCCAGTGCGAGGCAAAGACAGTGTACTTAAACAGCATCCTCTTTCCTCGGCCTCGCAAAGCAACCCAGGGGCCCAGAGGGCTATGACGAGCCTGCCTTCCCCTGAAGGACAGACACATCTGTCTCCGTAATGTACACTCCTTTCTCCGAAGCTTGTTGTCTGGAGCAGAAGGAAAGGCTGCTGGAGCCCAGACGCAAGCCAGGAACACACTCTGCACCTCCTTAGGACGGAAGGCAAGGCGAACGAGAGCCCAGGGATCACCTCAGGCCGAAGTGACCCACCAAGACGTGCGGAGCTGAGCCCGGGGCCCCAGGTGCCTGTGTGTCGCCAGCACCGGGTGGGGGCCCACGCCCGCCAACCAAACACCCGCTCCAAGAACTCACTTCCTAATGCTGGGAGCTCAGCACCGTCTTCAAAACAAAGGGGGCAGGTTACTGCACACAGAAATTTAGACACAGACATTGGTTTTCAAACATCATGTGGAAAGAGAACTCTGTTGAGAGTACAAAATGTGACCAGACAGACGCAGTTCTTTTCTTTTAAATAGGCACGCAGTGGCTCTTTTCTCTGGGGACAGTCCTCAGCTGTTCCTCGCCCCCAGCAGTCCTGGGGAAAGTGGTCTGTGAACCACTGCATGGGGAGCACAGCGTGGACCCTGACAGGACACCAACCTCCCACTATTTTTACCTTGGTTACTTTGCTTTGCTTTGCTTCTTTTTCAGTCTTTATTACTGAAGGACAGTTGACACGCAATGCTCTATCAGGACCTTGGTTATCACTGGAAGTACTTACTGCTTGGTTATCTGGGGAAAGGGTAGTAAGCTCAGGGAAGACACTGGAATAAAAATGCAGTCAAATGCTGCTGGGGGGCCCAGAGTTGATAGCCCAGGGAAGGAAGGGTCTCCAGTTAGTTTCTACTTTCCAGGGTAGCTGAAAATGAGATACCCACCATGTCCTGGGTTTATTTTTAAGAAATATCCTTCCTATCTTCTTAGAAGTAGCATAATATTACATTCTCCAAATGGCATCATCTGTCAGGATTTTGTACACATTATGCCACCACTTACGTTCATGCTGAGACCCGAAAGCTCGCCATCCAACCAACAGTGAGATTAAATAATACTTATCTGTACAAAACGAATCTAGCCATTCAACTCCCTGCAATGGGGGTTGTCATGGCCTTCCTGCTGTGGGGGCTTAGACAGAAAGTTGCCACAGTGCTTGGAAAGCATTACCTGAAAATTAGGCTATCCTTCCTTGCGGGGAGGAATCTGCACAATGGTCAACACCTACACTTTTATTTGAGGTTTTGACAGAAATCTTGCAACAGCGAGAGTCTCAGATCTGTCTTACCCCCTGCTCACTTGTTACTAAAGAGCACTTACCTCAGGTGGTATATCCCCTAATAAAAGCAAAGAAAATGTGTCTCTTTCCCATGGAAATTCTCACTCCAAGTTGTATTCTAGTAATCACTGTGTAGCGATAGGAGTAAAATGATCCAGTGGGTCAGGATTGTGGACGTAAACACTGTTTTGAAGAGGTCCGATAAAGGTGGGCAGATGGGAATGTATGCCTTTTTTCAGTCTCAAACTTAATTAAGGCTTGAGGCAGGGAGGGAAGGGATAAGATACAGGCCTTTATACTAAGTTCGTAAACGCCGTCCTTTGAAGAAAATCTTAGCACTGAAATCTTTACTAGGTTAATGCTTTCACTGCCCCTTTTCAGTGGTCTTCAGAATGGCCCGGGCCCCAGATGATCTGCTTCCCCCCCCCCCCACCGCCAGGGGGAGCCATCCAGAGTGAAATCTACCACTCCCACACCACCTACACACACTGGGGTCTGCCTCCATAGCAGGCTAGAGGCAGCAGGTCCTTGCCAGGTGCTGGCCTTGTGGGGCACCACTAACGGGTGGGCACACAGAGCCCATTAAGTGGCTTCAGCTTCCCTAAAGCGTGAGCAGCTGGCCCATCACGCGGTGGGGGGGGGTGGCTGCCCCAAGGCACCTGGAGGGCCACAGAGGGCCTGCAAGTCCAACATGGAAGGGAACGGACTGCTCACAACCATGACCTGCAACCAGGCAGAAGAGGTCCAAGAAAAGAGCGTTCTGGGACGCGGGCTGTGGTGGGAGAAGACGAGACTCCCAGGGAGGAAACAACCTGCTTTGGAGGAAGTACTCTTGCTCTCAACGTCGGATCCGCATCCCCCAGACGTTAGGAGACCCAGAAACAAGAAGTT